AGTGTAAAACTTGCCAGGCACAGTGGCACACATCTGTAATCCCAGGGGCTACAGAGGCTGAGGCAGGAGAATCGTGAGTTCAAAGCCAGCCTCAGCAAAAGTGAGGCACTAAGCAACTCTGTGAGACCCTGTCTCTAAACAAAATACAAAGTAGGCCCAGGGATGTGGCTCAGTGGTTGAGTGCCCCTGTGTTCAATCCCAAGTACTACCCCACCAAAAAGAAGTGTAAAAATTATATGGTGAAAACTGCAAAACATTTCTGGGAAAAAAAATTAAAATAAATGCAAAAACTTAATTTATCTTTGCTTCAGAAGACTTAACATTGTTACCATGTCAGTAATCCCCAAACTGATTTAAAGATTCAATCCTTGTTTGAATCCCTGCTGACTTCTTTGTACAAATTTATAAGCTGATTCTGAAATTTATATATTAGAAAGCACCTAGAACAGCCAAAATTATCCAGATAAAGAAGAATAACATATGAGAACTCAAACTTCCCTATTTGAAAACTTACTATAAATTAACAATAATTAAGATAGTGTGGTACTGGCTGGCATAAGGATATAGATCAATAGGATAAAATCAAAAGTACTGTAATAAACTCATGTGTTTATGACCTATGGATTTTGATAGGAGTCCAAAACTATGTTTAGTGGGGAAAACACAGGAATTTCAACAAATGTGCCATAATATTGCATAATCATTTGCAAAAAATTTGATGTGGACTCTGTTGGTCAGCTTTCTGTTACTGTGGGGAATTACCTGAGCTAATCAACTTAAAAGGAGGAAAGATTTGTCTTGCCTCATAGTTTCAGAGGTTTCAGTCCATATTCATTGACCCTGCTGTTTTGGGTCTATGGCAGCATGATTCATCATGGTGTGAACACGTGACAGAGAAGGCCTAATTAATCTAATGGCACCTGGGAAGCAAAAGGAGCGTAGGGAGGAAGAGGCCCAGAGTCCCAATGTTTTCTTCAAGGGCCTGCACCCAATGACATAAGTTCCCTGCTCTGGTCCTTGCATCCTAATGGGGACTGTGCCCTTGATATATAGGTCTTTGTGAGATATTCAAGATCTAAACCACAGCAGACTCTTACTTCAAGACATGTATAAAAATTTAATCAAAAAAGATCAAGGATGGGCTGGGTTGTGGCTCGGTGGCAGAGCACTTGCCTAGCATGTGTGAGGCCTGGGTTCGATCCTCAGCACCACATAAAAATAAATAAATAAAATAAAGATATTGTGTCCATATACAACTAAAAATATTTTTTAAAAAAAGATCAAGAAACTAAATGTAATTATGCAATAACAAAAACTACAAAATTCTTAAAAGAAAACCTAAGTGTTCGTGGGCTGAGGATGTGACTTCAGTGGTAGAGCACTTGCCTGGCATGTTCAAGGCCCCTGGGTTTAATGTCCAGCACCCAGGGGTGGGGAGATACAGGGGTGAGTCTCCATGACCTTGAATTTTTGGTGGGTACCAGGAATTGAACTCAGGGGCACTCAACCACTGAGCCTATTTTGTATTTTATTTAGAGGCAGGGTCTCACTGGGTTGCTTAGCACCTCATAGTTGCTGAGGCTGGCTTTGAACTCATGATCCTCCTGTCTCAGCCTCCTGAGCAGCTGAGATTACAGGTGTGTGCCACCAAACATGGCAATAACCTTGAATTTGATAAAGGACAAACATGAAACCAAAACACGAACAACAGAATAAAAAATAGATAATGGACTTCATCAAAATTTCAAACTTTTGTGCTTTTAAAGAACACCATCAAGAAAGTAAAAAGACAGCTGAGCATGGTGGCACACTCCTGTCATCCCAGTTGCTCGGGAGGCTGAGGCAGGAGGATCACAAGTTCAAAGTCAGCCTCAGAAACTTAGTGAGGCCTTAAGCAACTCAGCAAGATCCTGACTTAAAATAAATTATAAAAAGAGCTGGGGATGTGGCTCAGTAGTTAAGTGCCCCTGAGTTTGATCTCCTGGTACAAAAAGAAAGAAAAGAAAAAGAAAGTAAAAAGACAACCCACAGAATAGGAAAAAATAATGGCAAATAATGGACTTATATCTGGAACACATAAAGAACTCCTATGGCTCAATAACAGAAAGACCACTAATATAACTTTCAAAATAGGCAAGGAACTGGAGTAGACATTTCTTCAAAGGAGATGCTGAATGGCCAATGAAAGGATTCTCTATATCATGGGTCATTAGGGCAACGCAAATCAGAACGGCCACTGTACACCCATCAGGATAGCCAGGGTCTTAAAGTCAGATACCCAATGTCGGTGAGGACGTGGAGAAATCAGATCACTGCTGGTGGAAATATGAAATGATACAGACACTTGGGTAAACAGTCTGGCAGTTCCTCAAACAGTTAAGCATAGAGTTGCCATATGACTCCACAATTCCAACCCAAGAGAAATGAAATTTGACATCCACACGGGAACTTAGGCACAAACGTCATTGATGGCATTATGCATAATAGCCAAAAGGTGGAAACAACCCAAATGCCCACCAGTGAATGAATAAATAAACAAAATGTGGTATGTGCAATCAGTGGACTATTATTTGGTCATAAAAGGCGTTAGAATGGTGATATATGCCTTAATATAGATAAGCCTTGAAAACATTATACTAAGTGAAAGAAGCCGGTAACAAAACCACATGTGAGTCGGGTTCCATTGGTAGGAAATGTCCAGAACAGGAAGATTCATGGAGACAGAGAGCAGATTAGTGGCTTGCTTAGGGCTGAGGACAGTATGAGGTGTCCAATGAGTGAAGCTAAAGGGCCTGGGGTTTCATCTTGGGGGATGAAAATTCTCAAAATTATGATGATAGATGCACATATAGGAATATACTAAACAACTGAACTGTCTAGTTTATTTCAAATTGTCTGCAGTGCTGGGGACTATCTATGCTAGTTGTACACTTTAAATTGTACAGTGTGTGTATTATATCTCAATAAAGCGTTTTTTTAAAGGGGGGGACACCAGATTTCAAAGACTTAGCAAACAAAAAGGAGAGTATAATGTATCTCATTAGTTAAATTTTACACTAATTTTGATATGATAATTTTTTGGATCTCTTGGGTTTTATAAAATATACTATTAAAATTAATTTCATCTGCCTATTTTTATTTTCATGTAGCTGCTACTAGAAAATTTAGAATTACATACATGACTCAATTTATATCTCTCTTGGACAGTGAGGCTGCAGAAATTTTACAGGAATGACTTAAACTCTTGAGATTTTTTTCATGTGTTACGAAGCAGTTAGCGTAGTACTGACCTCCCAGGGCTGCGGCAGGAGTTAAATGAGATGGTGATTTTCAAGAACTTAGCCTATGAATATTAGCTCTTATAGCTGTTAGTTCTTATTATCAGGGAAGCCGTTGGGTGTTGTCTATGACAGTCACATCAATAATCCCTAGTAGAGTCCTTTAATTTACTTTACTACCATCACATTATTTTTAGAAATTAAAGGAGTCCTGGAAACTACCACAACCAGGAATCAACTGTCACCTGGCCAAATGGCTTGACAACCTCCTGGGTTTTAAAAAATGGAACCTGAGCATCTTCACTGTGAGACAGAACCCTATCCTATCGCAGGGTCTTACATTTGGGTCACCTCCTTGGCTCTGAAGACATTTGAGTTTGGATGTTGTCCTAGACTGGTCCATGCCCCTCGCTGTTCTGATGAAGACCCTGGGACCCATGGGAGAGGACACTTCACCGATAAGTTCACAATTCAGTCTGAAGAGTGCCAGGCCAGTGCCCCATGCCTCATCTAGGTGACCCTGGCCAGGTTGGAATACAGGCTGTCCAACTTGCATTCTAACATGCAACCCCTTAGAGGCCTTGGGTGGGGGGGACTTTGAGTGTTCTTTTAATTGACTGCTGTTGGAGAAAATAAGTCCTTACTGGGGATTATGGCATCTTCAGTTGAGAGCAAGGGAAGTTTGTACCTAGATGTTAGAAGCTCCAGATAACATGGTCTAAGATGTCTCAAATCTGGTTCTATGAAAATCTGCCCATTAGCCGTCCCTTTAGCTGCTCCTGTTTATTTCTTTGTTCATAGTTATCAGCAAATCAGACTTAACGAAGCACAATCATTTAATTCCCAATGTAACCCGTACAGCAAGGTGACCTGGGATAATTATTCCCATTTAATTGTTAAAAAAAAATGGAGCTATAAGAAGGAAAAAATATCGATAGAACTAAGCCAGGACCTAAAGAGTTTCCCCAAGTTCACCAGATGCACATTGTCTGTGCCGTATTTAAATACCACCTGCACTATTTAGTTATGATTTTTTAAATGGGTACTTAGTGTTTTGGGTAAGTCAATTGCTGTTGAAATGAAATTCTAGTTTAAAGTCTTTAATTGGAAATCAGCATCACTCTCCGTAAATGGGAAATTAATAAATACAATATGAAACAGTTCTACTTAGAAATGGTTGCCTGAATAGCTTTTAAAAATCCTAATGCCCAAACCAGGCCCCACACCTATTAAGTCAGAATCCCTCTGGGGAGGGCAGAACAAGGCATAAGTAGTTTTTAAAGCTCTCCCCAGGAGATAGCTTTGTACAGCCCAAGGATGAAACCTTGGAGAATAGATGCTAATGCCTCCAAGGCCTCTGAGGTGCAAGAGCCTGCTCTCTGTTAGGAAGCGAAGTCAACCACTGCTTATGGTGTAGTGAAGCACACAAGCCCCAAACTGAGACTTCTCTCCTTTCTCCAGAAGAAACCAATAATAATAATAATAATAATAATAATAACAACAACAACAATTTTGAAGTGGAGAAGAGTTCTCGTGTGATGTGCTACTGGTTAATGAGAGGCTCCTTTGGGTCAAACATCACCACAGACGGCACTCGCCCTTTGGAAAACACTGGACCAGAAGAACCCAGGTGGCCTGGTTCCTATTTCTGTGCCCTTTCCACTCCCTCAGGCAGCTTCCCAGCCAGATTCCACCCAGGTGACGGGGAGAACCCCTACCCACCTCCGTGTGCTCTCCAGCAGGGGCTCCAAATGCCTGAGCTGACATCACACTTCCAGGCCCATCTTTCTATTTCAAAATGAATCCTCACATCAGAAAACCTTCAGCAAAAACCACATCTGTCTCCTTTCATTTCCTCTCGAGAAGCCCCTCATTTTTTTACTCAGGAGCGTCTGGCCCTGCAGAAGATTTAAGTCAGCTGTCAGTCACACCCTTCAGGATCTTAAAGGAAGTATCACCAGGGAAGAGACAACCAGGGGACCCAGGGCAGGAAGCCACATGACTAGCAGAGGGCCTTCTGCTATTTGGTTTCTCCTCTTCCCTCCCCCGCCTGAACACATCCAGGACCACTCACAGGCTGCTGGGATGGAGGGGTGAATCTGGACTGACATCTAGAACTTGGTGGTGACTCCAAGTCTCCGAGGTTTCCTCCTCTGGCCTGGGCATCACCACCAGAACTGGTACTTGCTTGTGTGAATTTGGATTTAAAAATATCCTCGGAAGAGCGAGACCTCAAGAGCAGGCAGACTGGCTTGGTAAAGAGGGAGTTGAGCAAGGCTCCCATCTCCTCACTTCCTACATTTAATACCTAGAATGCTGACCCACTGTCTACCACCGCCAGCCAGCCGGCTGGACTGTCTAGTCAATAGACCCCTTCTTGCCTGCGTCCCTTAGATCGTAAGATCCAGCTTCCTTGTCACTTCCCTATGCTACATCCCAGAGCCATACAGTTCAAATCGTAGCTCTCATTGACCCGTAGTGGAGAATGTCCTTCTGCCTCATCCCCTGCTGTTCAAAGCCACCTACCCCCAGAGCCAATTGCAAATATCTCCTCCTCCATGAAGCCTAAAGTGATTTCCCCAGATTTTGAGTGGATATGGAAGAAAATAATAATGGTAAGGGAATCAGTTCAAATGCCCTTAATAATAACTAGCCTTTGTCCAGAGCTGCGACGGCAAGCCCCTGGACAAGAACTCACATGCAGATCTCAACCAAACCACACTAGATGGCACCTCGCCTTGCCTGCCTGCCATTTGTTATCCAAGTGACATTAGTCAGCTTTTTCTCTTTGGGCCTCATCTTCTCTGGGCACTAATGGGGTTTATGACACCTTCCTTAGGTTTGCTGTATAAAGCTTGCAGCGTCGTGCCTGAGACGGGGGTTTTGCTCTATAAGCATTATCACTTCTGCTGGCAGCTCCAGGTCTGGGTTGGTGCAACCCTCTTCACACAAATGAGAAGAAGGCAGCTGAATTGTACTTCCCTCTGGTCTTAAGGGGGCTTTGCTCCTAGTGTTTCAGTCATTCAGATCAGCCATTTGTGCATCTCTTTGCCGCCACTGTTCCAACTTTGCTCCCCACTTTTCCTTAGGTGGACACTACACTCCAGGGGAGAAGAAATAATTGGAGCCTCCAGGACACTTGGCCCCTGTGTTTTTGTACCTCCTGGTCTGCTCTTCTTCTCATAACTCTGTAGTGTCAGGCTTCAAATCCACAGCGAGTGTCTCCTCTGTGTAATCTACCTTCATCCTCCCAACCATGTGTGGTCGCTCTGTTCAGATTCCCGGGCACTCCTGTGCACCTGGACAAGTCTCTTAACCTTCCCTGGCCAGTAGCCCCTGAGCACTGGGCTCATTTCCCCTGCTAACCTGATTCCCCTCATCCCTACAGAGTAATGCCCTGGGCATGCTACCAGAGTACTATGGGGGGACGGAGGAAGGGATAAATGAATGAATAAATCAACGCATCGGTTTCAATATTCCCTTGGAGAAGATCCCTGGCCCCCAGGATGTATTTGGCATCTGCATATCATTGAAAGCACTTTGGGCCTGAACACTTCAAACAGGACATCAACATTTATTCTTTGCATTTTTTTTTTTTTTTTGAGAACAGAGATGTCCAAACAAGTCATATTCCCTGTGGTTCTACCTGTAGAATTCTGAGCTCTACGACACCTTGGCAAGGTTTCGAGGGGTCAATACAGTCAAGTTCAACCCTCCTCAGAAAGTTTGCTTGGTGATTATGATGTTGTTTTTAGAAGTCAGTGTAAGTACACCTAGAGGGCCGTGACTTTCTGGTGTTTTGATGTCCCCTGTGCTATCCAGAGTCGTATCCATGATGCCCTCCACCTCCCAACATTTCCTCCTTGTCTCCCCTCCAGATTTTGTTATCCCTGTAAGTTTGACATAATAAGGCATCTTTACTCCCAGCCTTAGCTCTAGAAAGTTCCACTGGAACAAAGGAAGAATTGGAAGAAAGGTATGTTTGGTCCAAATACAATAATTTAGAGTGGCTGTAAGAGAAAATGACGTCTAAGCCCCCAGAACTGTAGTCAAGGACTACGTCAGTGAGTTCATTAGGCACCGAGTGCCTGAGGTTTCTCACAGCTGTCAGAAGTGCTGAGTACCCATCAGGTAGTATTTTCACAACAAAATAATCAACAGAGTATGGCTGAGCAGTAATTGTGTGCCCAACATTGTTCTAAACACCGAAAGACATAGAAAAGGAAGGAAAAAAAAACAGACTTTTGAATCAAAGAATCTTGCAATCTATTTAGGCAGTCCGGGAGGACAGAGATTTGAACATAATGAAAACAGTTTAACATGTACCAAGTGTCTGTGGAAAGTGAGGTTCTCTACATATAGTATCTCATTTAATGCTCACAACAGCCCTTTGTGGTGGGTACTAGAAAAATCACCTCCATTTGAGCATAAGAAATGGCAGCAGAGGAAGATAAAGTACACTGCCCAACATCATAAAAACACCAAGTGGTAGGATTGATATCTAGGCAGCAGGGCTCTCAGGGCCTCTTAAGTTTAACCATGCTTTATATTCTACCCTGACATAGTGATGGTTTACTTTAAATGCAATATATCATGAAGAAAGGTAGCTCCAGTTCAGATCATCCAAGTTTGAAAAGACTGTACTGCTACTTCCCATCCCCTGTTCTACCTGCAATAGATACCGTTTCCACATGAATTAATCAGTACAAGTACCCTCTGTATATTCCAGATGGGCACACCTTGCAAAGAGAACTTGGACCGTTCAGCATGATGACTATAAGTGCAAAATTTCCAAGCCTGGGATTCCCCCAACCCCCCCCCCCCAAAAAAAAAATCACTCTGGTCATCTACAGGACGTGGAAAGAGTAACCTGGGCCAGCCTAGGATCCCCCACCCTCTAGGAGTATGCTTGTTCATGTCAAAAGGGTCAGCCCATGAAGATCCAGCCTTCCTCTGAGTGCTACCATGAATTCTCCATCCGATTTCCCGGGTCAAGCCGTCACAAGGATGATGTAAGGACAGTCTCTCAGTTGCCAGGGGAACTGATTTCATCAGTATCTCAGCTAGCCTGGAAGATTTGCATACATTATGTCCCATAGAAAGAGAAAGTTAAATTGACTCGAGGTCAACTGCTTCTACTGGCTACTGTCCACAGCGTGGTACGTACATTGCATCAAGATTCTGGGGCACTGTAGAGACAGGTCTGGTAATAAATGCTCACTTTCTCTTGCTCAGCAAGAATGGGAGCTGCCTAGGGAAATAGATAACGACAACCCAAGGAATGGTGCGTCCACGGAGCTGGGTGTTGAATTCCCTCTCTGCATCTTAGCTCTTCGGCTCCTTCATTACCCACTGGCAGGATGGTCTTGATTACAGGGGCAATGTCCAGGTCTGACAGTATCCAACCCTCCAGAAGCTCAGCACTTCTTCAGCCCCCAGTCACTGTTGCGTGTTGCATACCTGTTTAGCTCAGTCTCACAAGCTCTCAGCCTGTCTCTGAAGATCTGTGTGTATTTCTCACCCTTTTCCTATTCTCCACTCAAATTAGGCAGACTGGTCCATCCCTACTGATTTTCTGGATCGATAGAATAAAATTTCCAAAAGGATGACAACTTTCCTTCCTGGAATCTTCCCACAAAATGTGCACATGTATGGTTTTGAAAAAGGATTTGATGACAAAGAGATAGCTTCCAATCTGAAAGTATGTCTTGCTCTGTTATTTGCAAACTGTATAGCAGGTCACCCCCGGTAAACTCACCAAATCACCAGAGTGCAATTCTCCAAAGGAAAAACAGGGTGCACACTCTTGGTCAATTACTGCACAAACTCAGGGTTGTTCTGTTTCAACACTAGATCAACCTACATTCCTTTCAATAATGGCATATTTAAAGGAAGCCAAGTTTGGGGCAGTTACTATAACAAAAGCAAGTACCAAGTGCACCAGCGTGGGATAGGAAACCAGGGAGGCAGGGTCCAATTGGATTCCAAAATCCGAGGAGTTGTCCCGTGCCCAACACACACATCTGATTAGTAAGTAATCACCATGATTTCAGGACGCAATAAAAATGCTAGACTTTTCTTGCACTGCATGTGTATCATTTTTTTTCAAATGGCTACAAAGTTCTTAGTAAATGCTTTCCAAGTGGTTTGCCTTTCTCTACTTAAAAATGGAACCGTTCAGTTATTTCTTTTGACCAGTGGGCACCAGGAAACATTTGCTGAGGCTCTTGGGGCTCCATGAACTGAGAAGGTCTGAAAACCCCGGGTCAGGTCTGTCATGCTTTGCGGTTCCCGTGGACCTGACCTCATTACAAAGCACTGGGTCTTGATTTTGGTTGCTGAGGTCGTGTCCACCCAGTGGCTTCTCCGTTTTCCTAAAGGTGCCCACTACCCAGGGCCTTCCTCGCCACTCACGTGGCCCAGCACCTGCCCCAGCCTCTCTGGATATCTTTCCCTTTCTCTCTAAGCTTCAGTCGCCCTAGCTTCCTTTCAGTTCCTCAGACACACCACGTCCTCCTTTCCCACCACGAGGACTTCCTGCTTGTTCCCATCCTGAGTCACCTTTAGGTCTCATCTTAAATGCTACGTCACCAGAGTGGCCTTCCCTCACCCATCAGAGTGAGATTTCCCTAGCTTTCTTGGTTATTCTCTGAATGATGATGACCCCACTCATTTCCTTCATAGTATCTTGTCCTCTCCACATGCAGTTGTCCTTTGTGACCAAGGGGAATTAGTTTCAAGACCTCCAAGAATACCAAAACCCTTGCCGGGAGCAGTGGCACATGCCTGTAATCCCCAGCAGCTCAGGAGGCTGAGGCAGGAGGATCATGAGTTCAAAGGCCTCAGCAATGGCAGGGCACTAAGCAACTCATTGAGACCCTGTTTCTAAATAAAATACAAAATAGGGCTGGGGGTGTGGCTCA